TACTACTAGCACATGCACTAAATTACTACAACTACTACTGCCATGCACTACTATTACAATACATCAGCACCATACATACTACAACTATGCACATGCCTATAACTACAACTACTACTGCACAGCACTACTATTACTACAACTACACTACACATGCACTACTATTACAACTACTATCACAGCACTATATTACTACAACTACTACTGCACATGCACTATTATTACTACAACTACTACTGCACATGCACATATTACTACAACTACTACTGCACACTGCACTACTGTTACTACAACATACACTACCATGCACTATATTACTACAAACTACTGCACATGCACTATATTACTACAATACTACTCTCACATGACTACTATACTACAACTACTACTGCACATGCACTAATTTACTACAACTACTACTACACATGCACTATATTACTACAACTACTACTACACATGCACTACTAATTACTACAACACTACACATCTGCCACAATACTACAACTACTATCACATGCACTACTATTACTACAACTACTAACTGCACATGCACTATATATTACTACACTACTACTAGCACATGCACTACCATTACTACAACTACTACTGCACATGCACTATTTACTACAACTACTACTGCACATGCACTATATTACTACAACTACTACTCACATGCACTACTATTACTACAACTACTACTCACATGCACTACTATTATACAACTACTACTACACATGCACTATTACTACAACTACTACTCACATGCATACTATTACTACAACTACTATACACATGCACTACTATTACTAAACTACTACTCACATGCACACTATTACTACAACTACACACATTCAATAGGTCAAGTGTCTACTAACAGTTTAACTACTATACACCTAATCTCTCCACTGACCTTACTACTACTGGTAAGTGCAACCGGATTAGTAGGATAGTACCTACGCAAACACATGAATACTACAACTATCTACTGTATCACCAAACATTATTACTTCTACACGATCTACAATTAAATGATTATCTTCTATCAAAATCTATATAAGTTGGGATACTATTACTACATACAACCTTCTCACATCTGTTACTTACGTAGTGTTGTGAAAACAGTACTACTACTACAACTTCTCACCTACTGTTGACTACGTCCTAGTGTGTGGAATACAGGTTACTACTACTACCACCTTCTCACCTCTGGACTACTTAGCTGTTGGAAACAAGTTACCTACTACAACTTCACCTTCACGCTGTGGACTTACGTTAGTGTCATGTTGTTCAAAGTTCTCAACTTCTTGCCCTGTATGCAAGTTTGTTATTTTTATCTCTGCATTTACAAGTCTTTCCCCTTGTTCTTGCTTTTTGTTTCGTGTCTTAGCCAGTTTGTTGTGACTTTGTTCATACCAAATTCACGTTTATCTGTTGTTGTTTTTCAGTGTTCGTTGATCTTTTTTTGTGTTCGTTTGTATATTCTTTGTGTGTTTTTTTTGTGTTTTTTTTTTTCAATCTCAGTGTTTTGTTTATTCACATGTGACATAACTTTTTTATTTATTTTGATTTTGCATTTTGTTTATTGATATCCTTGTTCCTATATTAATATTATATATATATATATATATATATATATATATATATATATATATATATATCTACTATATATTAGTCTTCTAAAAACATCTAGCTTATTTTTTCCCAGGCGCATTTAAGACTTTTCTTGTGATTACAAAAATAACCTCTTCATTTAACATAACTTCTTTCTGTGTATTTGTGTCTTATATATTGTCATACACACACACACACACACATACATACAATCTTCAACCTTAAGTTATGATCCCATCATGAATGTTCTTCAGCTCTTCGTAATGTTTAGCGTTGTTGTCCTATAAGATTAGGCGAAGTCGCTGCGGCTTCTACCGGATCCAAATGACAAATTGTGAAGAAGAGACAAGATTAATCAGTCTTTCATTGGGACCACGTTTCGCTCTGCGTAGACTCGATGCAGAACTACACAGGGCGAAACGTTGTCCCGAAAGAGAAAAAAAAACCGTGTTTCCGCCCGCCTGCGTCTTCTCTTCCTACGAAGTTGTAAAGACAGATCCTCCTGCCTAAGGGTGGGTTCACTGATGGTCCCTCCTGCAGGTGGTGGTCAACGCCCTGGTGGGAGCCATCCCTTCCATCGTCAACGTGCTCCTCGTGTGTCTCATCTTCTGGCTCATCTTCGCCATTATGGGAGTACAACTCTTCAATGGCAAATACCATAAGGTTAGTGCCAACCCCCTTCCCCAGTCACTGCTAGCTCGCTCTTGTTATTAGTAGGGTCATTTGAGTGGCTGGTAGTCATTCCACTGATTGGTGGGTCATTCTAGTGCCTGGTTCGTCATTCATTTGATGGATTGAGATATTCGAGTGATTGGTAGGTTATTTACGTGACTGGAGGGTCATTCTAGTGACTGGTAGAGTCATTCCAGTAACTGGTAGAGTCATTCCAGTGATTGGCAGGTCATTCCTGTGATTGGCAGGTCATTCCAGTGATTGGCAGGTCATTCCAGTGACTGATACAGTCATTCCAGTGACTGGTAGTCATTCCAGTGACTGGTAGAGTCATTCAGTGACTGGTAGGGATAATTCAGTGGACTGTAGGGTCAGGTAGAAGCCTAGTCATAAAAATATTGAAATCTTGAAATCGATTGCAGGAATGACAATCAATATGAGGGGAATTCTATTGCTCGGTGCTATATATAGTTATGTCTGTTTGCCTGTGCATGAAAGAAGGTATCAGGTGATATATGTGTATTTAAATGTATGAGTAATAATGTTGTACGTGTGCAGTGTATGTGTTGCAGGTACAGTGTATGGTAGTACGCAGTGACGTACGGTGAGCGCTGCAGGATGTACCGGACAGACAGTAGCTTGCGGGGAACTCAACTGACGTGGGTGCAGGTGACAGCTAGTGGTGCAGGCTTGACACAGTGGTGATGCGGCTGCATTGACCTAGGGCCTCGTACAGGTGGTGTGCGGTGACGTAGTGTGTGCAGGTGACGTAGTGGTGCCAGGGTGACAGCAGTGGTGGGCAGGTGATCGCTAGTGTGGTGCAGGGTGACAGCTGTGGGACAGTGTGGCAGGTGACAGTAGTGGTGCAGGGTGTGACAGTGTGGTGCAGGGTGACTGCTAGTGGTTGGTGCAGGGGTGACGCTAGTGTGCGTGCAGGGGTGACTGGGTGTAACAGCTAGTGTGTGGGTGACAGGGCAGGTGACGCTAGTGGTGGTGCAGGGTGACAGCAGTGGTGGTGCAGGGGTGACAGTAGGTGGTGCAGGGTGACAGTATGTGTGCAGGTAGCTGTGCAGTAATTGGTGGTGCAGGGGTGACAGCTAGTGTGGTGCAGGGGTACACTGCTAGTGGTGGTGCAGGGGGAGTGACAGGTGTAGTAGGTGGTGCAGGGGTGAGCTAGTGGTGGTGCAGGGGTGACAGCTAGTGGTGGTGCAGGGTGACAGCTAGTGGTGGGCAGGTGCAGGGGTGACAGGTGAGTAGGGGGGCAGGGTGAGTATGGTGCAGGGGTACAGCTAGTGGTGGTGCAGGGGTGACTCAGCTAGTGGTGTGCAGGGGTGACAGCTAGTGGTGGTGCAGGGGTGACAGCTAGTGGTGGTGCAGGGGTGACAGCTAGTGGTGGTGCAGGGGTGACTGCTAGTGGTGGTGCAGGGGTGACAGCTAGTGGTGGTGCAGGGGTGACAGCTAGTAGTGGTGCAGGGGTGACAGCTAGTGGTGGTGCAGGGGTGACAGCTAGTGGTGGTGCAGGGGTGACAGCTAGTGGTGGTGCAGGGGTAACAGCTAGTGGTGGTGCAGGTGACATAGTGGTGTGCAGGGTGACAGTAGTGGTGTGCAGGGGTGACAGTGGTGGTGCAGGGTGACAGCTAGTGGTGGGCAGGTGACAGCTAGTGGTGGTGCAGGGGTGACAGCTAGTGGTGGTGCAGGGGTGACAGCTAGTGGTGGTGCAGGGGTGACAGCTAGTGGTGGTGCAGGGGTGACAGCTAGTGGTGGTGCAGGGGTGACAGCTAGTGGTGGTGCAGGAGTGACAGGTAGTAGTGGTGCAGGGGTGACAGCTAGTGGTGGTGCAGGGGTGACAGCTAGTGGTGGTGCAGGGGTGACAGCTAGTGGTTGGTGCAGGGGTGTACAGCTAGTGGTGGTGCAGGGGTGACAGCTAGTGGTGGTGCAGGGTGACAGTAGTAGTGGTGCAGGGGTGACAGTAGTGTGGTGCAGGGGTGACAGCTAGTGGTGGTGCAGGGTGACAGCTAGTGGTGGTGCAGGGGTGACAGCTAGTGTGTGGTGCCAGGGGCGGGTAGTGTGGTGGGCAGGGCGTGTGGTGCGGACAGCTAGTGGTGGTGCAGGGGTGACAGTAGTGTGGTGCAGGGGTGACAGCTAGTGTGGTGCAGGGGTGACAGCTAGTGGAGGTGCAGGGGTGACAGGCTAGTGTGGTGCAGGGGTGACAGGTAGTAGTGGTGCAGGGGTGACAGGTAGTAGGTGGTGCAGGGGTGACAGCTATGTGGTGCAGGTGCGTAGTGTGGTGCAGGTACGTGTGGTGGCAGGGGTGACAGCTAGTGGTGGTGCAGGGGTGACAGCTAGTGGTGGTGCAGGGGTGACAGCTAGTGGTGGTGCAGGGGTGACAGCTAGTGGTGGTGCAGGGGTGACAGTAGTGGGTGGTGCAGGGGTGACAGCTAGTGGTGGTGCAGGGGTGACAGTAGTGGTGGGCGGTGACGCTAGTGGGGTGCAGGGGTGACAGCTAGTGGTGGTGCAGGGGTGACAGCTAGTGGTGGTGCAGGGGTGACAGCTAGTGGTGGTGCAGGGGTGACAGCTAGTGGTGGTGCAGGGGTGACAGTAGTAGTGGTGCAGGGGTGACAGATAGTGGTGGTGCAGGGGTGACAGCTAGTGGTGGTGCAGGGGTGACAGCTAGTGTCATAAACAATACCTATTAAATCCGTGAACAAACATAATGCAACATGTGGACACTCAATCCTCTAATAAAGCTCCGTGAACTACAATCTTTCGTAAATGCGATTGAAAAAAAAAAGTTCTTTGAAAATTTAATGGCACGTACCATAATGGCGCTTCCACTCACTGTTCAATTTACATGTACTTCAATCGCATTTACGAAGAATTGCACAGTACAGAGGAACTTCGTGAGAGAGTTGACTGCATCCTGACTGGTGAAGAGTCGAGCCTACACAAGAAAGATTTATACTGTGTATTATATGTACAGGTTGAGATGCAGCCAGTACGAGAGATCAGCCTCAACATGTACCTCTACTTCGTCTTCTTCATTATCTTCGGTTCCTTCTTCACCCTTAATCTCTTCATTGGTGTCATCATCGATAACTTCAATGAGCAGAAAAAGAAGATAAGTATTAAATACACACACATATACACATCCACATACACATATACCCATGTATAAACATGGCCACATATACACATGTGTATTTCCTAGCATGATATACGTATACTCTTGGGTATAGTTGATTCACGGTCAAATAATCCTTTTCTTTATGCCCATAATAATAACGTAATGTTGATTTTTTAAATTAGTAATCACTTCGGTAGCACATCATATGTTAAATGCTACTATTATATAATATCCAGTTTTTCACGTAGAGGAACTGTTATAAAACCTGAAACTGTTGACTCAGATAGTGGTTTAGGTAATTGTAGTTATGTGAGGGATTATGAGATAGAGTGAGGCCTCCCCGATGACTGGTGTCAGAGACACCTGGTGTTCCAGAGAGACACCTGATATTAAACACCTGGTGTAAAATATCTGGTGTTAGAGACACCTGGTGTTAGAGACACCTAGTGTAAGAGACACGTGGTGTAAGATACACCTGGTCACATACAACAAAACAACTTTCTGGCTGCTATTTGATTGTGTATTTTGCGATATCCAGGCAGGAGGGTCGCTGGAGATGTTCATGACAGACGATCAAAAGAAATACTACAACGCCATGAAGAAAATGGGAGGCAAGAAGCCGCTCAAGGCCATCCCTCGCCCTCAGGTATGGTAGACCAGTGGTTGGCAGGTATGGTGGACCAGTGGTTGACAGGTATGGTGGACCAGTGGTTGACAGGTATGGTGGACCAGTGGTTGGCAGGTATGGTAGACCAGTGGTTGACAGGTATGGTGGACCAGTGGTTGGCAGGTATGGTAGACCAGTGGTTGACAGGTATGGTGGACCAGTGGTTGACAGGTATGGTGGACCAGTGGTTGGCAGGTATGGTAGACCAGTGGTTGACAGGTATGGTGGACCAGTGGTTGGCAGGTATGGTAGATCATTGGTTGGCAGGTATGGCCTGGATGTCTCTCCTACGTGAGATCTGGTGCTACGGTAGTCACTCCCAGAAACTCTTGGTTTGCTATCGCTTATCCGTTTGAAAATATTTTTCTTTTTTTAATGAAATCTGAGAGCTGAGCTCTTTTTGCCATGTTCATAAACTGATGTAATTGTTGATGTTGCTGAAGTATTTATTCACATGCGTGCATCATCACTATATTCCAGAGTCACTTTTATCATATTCATCAATTTCCCGACCGTAATTATTTCACCTCATTACTTATATTACATATATGTATATATTTAAGAATCGCGAGCAAGCGATACAAATGCAAAAGAACAGCCACAGGGGGAGTTGAATGATAGCTCTAGGCCTTTCGTGTTGCAATCAGCACATCATGAGGAGCTTCAAATGTTACGGACATTAGTAGGATTTCCAGGTAGATTCGTTCAAAGGAACGACTCATTCTAGCTTAGAGTCGTTCCTTTGAACGAATCTACCTGGACCTCCTACTAATTTCTGCAACATTGCAAGCTCTTGAAGACGTTTTGAGTGCAACAGGAAAGGCCTACTTTAATTCTTTCCCTGGATTTTTCCATATATATATATATATATATATATATATATATATATATATATATATATATATATATATATATATATATATATATATATATATATATATACATACATACATACATACATACATACATACATACATACATACATACCCAATACCATTAAGAATATATAGCATCAATAATAAAAATGTCAAACTTTATTACAATATTGGAGTCTCGCACTGAAATAAAATAAACTAACTCTATAACACTTCGCACATTCAAAATAATGTCACCACACATGCTGTCACACTCGCAGCTGTAAGATTAGGTATGACAGCACGGAAAGCTAGAGTCTGGTAGGTGAGTGGGTCAAGTTAGTCCAGGAGGTCAGATCAGGTCAGTGTCTACACCAGCAAGTGGGATCAGGTCAGTGTCTACACCAGCAGGTGAGATCAGGTCAGTGTCAACATCAGGGGTGGGATCAGGTCAGTGTCTACACCAGGGGTGGGATCAGGTCAGTGTCTACACCAGCAGGTGAGATCAGGTCAGTGTCTACACCAGGGGTGGGATCAGGTCAGTGTCTACACCAGCAGGTGAGATCAGGTGATTGTCTACACCAGGGGTGGGATCAGGTCAGTCTACACCAGCAGGTGGGATCAGGTCAGTGTCAACATCAGGGGGTAGGATCAGGTCAGTGTCTACACCAGGGGTGGGATCAGGTCAGTGTCTACACCAGCAGGTGAGATCAGGTCAGTGTCAACATCAGGGGATAGGATCAGGTCAGTGTCTACACCAGGGGTGGGATCAGGTCAGTGTCTACACCAGCAGGTGAGATCAGGTGATTGTCTACACCAGGGGTGGGATCAGGTCAGTCTACACCAGCAGGTGGGATCAGGTCAGTGTCAACATCAGGGGGTAGGATCAGGTCAGTGTCTACACCAGGGGTGGGATCAGGTCAGTCTACACCAGCAGGTGGGATCAGGTCAGTGTCAACATCAAGGGTAGGATCAGGTCAGTGTCTACACCAGGGTGGGATCAGGTCAGTGTCTACACCAGCAGGTGGGATCAGGTCAGTGTCAACATCAGGGGGTAGGATCAGGTCAGTGTCTACACCAGGGGTGGGATCAGGTCAGTATCTACACCAGCAGGTGAGATCAGGTCAGTGTCTACACGAGCAGGTGGGGGTCAGGTCAGTGTCTACACCAGCAGGTGGGATCAGGTCAGTGTCTACACCAGCAGGTGGGATCAGGTTAGTGTCTACACCAGCAGGTGGGATCAGGTCAGTGTCTACACCAGCAGGTGGGATCAGGTCAGTGTCTACACCAGCAGGTGGGATCAGGTCAGTGTCTACACCAGCAGGTGGGATCAGGTCAGTGTACACCAGCAGGTGGGATCAGGTCAGTGTCTACACCAGCAGGTGGGATCAGGTCAGTGTCTACACCAGCAGGTGGGATCAGGTTAGTGTCTACACCACAGATAAGTGGTTCAGTGTTGCACCATTCAACACACACACCCACATATACATTACTTGCTTTCTGTGTATCCAGGCGTATGTTTGTATGTCTAGAGTATCTTTGATACTAATATACAAATGTAACTATGTGTATTTGTAGTATAGTATATTTTATCTCACACACGGTCTATGTACACTGTACAACAGAGACGGTGTATGTCTCACACACGGTCTCTACACTGTACAACAGAGACGGTGTATTTGTCTCACACACGGTCTCTGTACACTGTACAACAGAGACGGTGTATGTCTCACACACGGTCTCTGTATATTGTTCAAGAGGATCGGTGTGCCGTTGCGTTACACAGTCTCTGTATACTGTACATCAGAGACGGTGTGTCGTTGTGTCACCATGTTTGTTCCCGACTCACTCTCCCATCCTGCCGCACCTCCATCATCACCCCCCAACTAATGAAGAGATTTCATTGGTATTTACAGGCTTCTTGTATGTTGCATTACTCTGTGCCTCCTCCAAGCCCGCCCGGGAGCAAGATTACACATAAACGCTTACTCAACATCCTTATTACAGTGTACCCGAAGCTAGTGGTGTTCCCCTATCCTCTTCCTCCCTATCATGTGTAATGACCTAACCGGTTGTCTCCCTTCCCTCGTCCACTGTATTTATCGTCTTCCCCGTAGCCAGCCCCTCACGGTAGTTGTCCTTCCCTCACGACCTTCCAAAACCATCCCAGCCTCGTAGCAACCCCCACCGCCACCACCGCCACTAGATATCTCCCCGAGGATTATACTGAGCCCGTCCATCACCACAGAATCGTGGTCGGAGCTATATAGAATTAATAGAAAAAAAAACATCTTTGCCCGCACCTCCTTAACTCGGCCCAAAACCTCGCAACCACACTATACCCAGCCTGTTTGTGCCATTATCAGACTCAAGAGCTTCTATCACGTTCCATATGAGTCTCACCACTGTCCATATGGATCTAAGACTATATATTCCAAATGGATTTAATATTACGTTCCACACACGTATGTAGAACCACGTTCCACACACACACATGTATGTAGACCCACGTTCCACACACATACATGTATGTAGAACCACGTTCCACACACACACACGTATGTTAAACTACGTTTTACACAGACACACACTTGTTGAACCACGTTCTACTCATGTTGAGCCACGTTCTACTCATGTTGAACCACGTTCCACAGATGTTTAACCACGTTCCACACACACATGTATGTTGAACCACATTCCACACATGTATGTTGAACCACGTTCCACACATGTATGTTGAACCACGTTCCACACACATGTATGTAGAACCACGTTTTACACACACACACACACACACACACAAACAAATATATATTGAACCACGTTCCACACACACATGTTAAACCACGTTCCACACACATGTTGAACCACATTCCACGTACATGCACGCTTACATACACATATTAGTAAAAAAATATATAAATTTGAAAAAAGAAAATCCCAAAAAAATAAACGTCCCAACACCGAGGCTCGAGCAATATATTACTTACCAACACTCTGAAGAGAATAAACTTTAAATGGTATTTCACTCTCACCTGGACTGTTATAAAGCCACGACTCCTGACTTGATGATGGTTCAGGGGGAACGGAAATATCATCTAAGATGTCCTTTCCAAATTGTGGGCAAATAGTGATATGAACCCACCTTGGAACACTAACAAAAAGGTTCAGTACAATATATATATATATATATATATATATATATATATATATATATATATATATATATATAATATATATATATATATATATATATATATATATATATATCTTTATTTACCTCTTAAAAATGCCATCGTTTCGATTTATCAGTCACCATCTTCAGGACAGTGCTAAATTGTAATCATCTGTTGGAATTACTATTTGTGCATATAGCTGTTGAGAAATGTGGTAAATAAGGAGACATGCCAAGTAGAGCAGGGTGTGAAAATACCCTAGGGCAGGCTTCATGTGTGGGCATGTGTCTTGACCTGCCCCTCTTACCTAGCAGTAAATAGGTGAGTAGAAGTTAGTCAACACTTGTCAGTGTTGCGTCATGGTTGAGTTATAAACAGGAATCCAGTTACAGTAAGCAAGACTGTTTATCTTGTTTGCTTTATCAGTCAAATACCTTCACTAACCTAAAGGAAACTTTCCTGTTCAGTTCAGAGATGTTCAATGGGTCAGTTAACGTTTGATCATGCTAGAGTGATGATGTTCAGTGGGCAGTTAACGTCTGATCATGCTAGAGTGATGATGTTCAGTGGATCAGTTAACGTCTGATCATGCTAGAGTGATGATGTTCAGTGGATCAGTTAACGTCTGATCATGCTAGAGTGATGATGTTCAGTGGATCAGTTAACGTCTGGTCATGCTAGAGTGATGATGTTCAGTGGATCAGTTAACGTCTGGTCATGCTAGAGTGATGATGTTCAGTGGGCAGTTAACGTCTGATCATGCTAGAGTGATGATGTTCAGTGGGCAGTTAACGTCTGATCATGCTAGAGTGATGATGCTCCTTTGGTCTGTTTCATTATATCCTAGAAATTAGGAGCTTATTTCAAAATAATAATCACGGCAGTAAATATTCACCATTAATTTATATCTACTGCTGTAAAACTTACAGCCGCACTAAACATAATTTTACTGCTGTAACGCAGGTTCCACAGCACTGCCACCGTACAGCAGGGGTGGGGGTCACACGACCACTAGTACACCTGCTGTGACCTTGTGCTGCTCACCCGAGAGCACACCTGAGTGTCAACATAGGGATAACACATGCGTGAACCAGCACATGAGTGTCTACACAGAGACAACATATGCTTTAAAACAGCACATGTGTGTTAGTTACTTACCGGGTGTCAAAGTTGCTTATCGATAGACACGGCCCTTTTATTGGTGTGTGTGTGTCTGTATGTATGTGTGTGTGTGTATACTGAAAGTTTATTATAACTCCTATTTTTAAAATAGGGGTTACTATTTTTAAAATAGGGGTTATAATAAACGGCGGTGAAAAAGGTTACATGTAGCCGGCCATCGTGTAGTCGATAGGCTTTAAACCCCCATGTTAACCAAAAACGTAACCTTACAGAGTATTTGTCGCACCAGGCAGTGTTACGTCTGTTCCGGTTCACTTAGTAGTAAATAGGTACATGGGAGTTAATCAACTGTTGTAGGTGGCATCCTGGGGGGGAGTGGTGGACATTGAAACCAACTGCGGTAAGAGAAAAATGTCTTAACCTGTGAACGAACTGAGGTATGATAATAGGTCTTGGCCTGTAAACCAACTGAGGTTACGATACTCATTCTAATGTATAAGATAACGCACATTTCCTATAACCAAGTCAGTAGCTGGAGCTCAACCCTTCAAGGAAGACGCTACGATGCTGGTGAAGGGCTCTTGATCCAGTTTATTAGGGCTATCCCCCCCCCCGGCCGGATCAAACCCGATAACTTTCCAACTTTGATTCCATGCGTTATGACTCCTACGAATGATGAGTATACTGACGCGACGAGTGTTTATACAATGTATCATTGTTGGATGACACCAGCTTCGTGATCCATTGTGGTTTAGCGCTCTTTTAATATACTAGTAGTAATAACAATATAGTATTAATATTTGTAATAAATAAAATCTATAATAATGATAATGGTAATAATAAGCTAACGCGACTTTCAGTATTGGACACGAAGGAAAAAAATCCTTGTTGCGTGAAGGCAAATCAGGTTAGGGGCAGTGTAGGTGAGCGAGGTCATGCATCTTGGGTCCCGAGGTCTGGAGGTGAGTGCACAGGGAGTGTGGGCACGCGACCCTGATACATTTATCAAGGCCTCCATACTCCCTCGATGTGGAACTGTCTAGTTGATCTCGAATCTCAATGCTTACGGCTGTCTCTAATGTCAGAAAAACGTATTTACGTCCCCCCTTCCCAAACCCCCCTTAGTTGAAAACGCTGTACGTCTCTGAGTTTAATCCCACGGCTTTTGTTTATGGCTGTTTTTGTCAGTGTCATTGGCACGTTAGTTTGTTACATCTAAATGATGAGTTGTGCAATTCATTCTCTCTCTTTCTCAAAACAAAGGAATTTCTAACAATACTGCGGTATTAAATAGAGAAAATTTTCCCCCTGTGAGGAAAAGTTAAATGTCTGCTTTATTGCTCGGAATATTTTGTTTTTTAAACTTTCTTAGAACTTTTTTTTTCCTTAGACGATGACCTCGTTAAACAAAACACTGTTATCATCACTTGCTACTGACGTCAGTTCCTTCAAGGACGGTGCCTTGATGTCAGTGAAGGACTCTTGTTTCTAAGGAATCGCAACTTTCCTTCTCTTTCTTGAATCAAACGTGTTTCCCTCCTGTCTTGGCTCTGTATATCTTAATAAAATATTTCTAGACATCACGTGTATAAAGAGGATGTCTGTGTACTGTTGCGAACATTTATTTTAAGACTGATGAAGCCACTCGTGGCCAAACAGTCTTTAATAAAAGTTCTGAATTGTACGCCTTGTTTTCTAGTCTCTAGGTATCACTATATCAGTTACGACACTGTAGACGTCACTTCTTAAAGTGTCCATCAACCAACACATGAATTCCCACAGTATCGTTATGCATCTTTCTTCACTACTTCAACATTCTTCTCTCTCTCTCTCTCTCTCTTCTCTCTCTCTCTCACCCCTCTCTCTCTCTCTCTCTCTCTCTCTCTCTCTCTCTCTCTCTCTCTCTCTCTCTCTCTCTCTCTCTCTCGCTCTCTCTCTCTCTCTCTCTCTCTCTCTCTCTCTCTTCTCTCTCTCTCTCTCTCTCTTCTCTCTCCTCTCTCTCTCTCTCTCTCTCTCTCTCTCTCAGTCTCTCTCTCTCTCTCCTCTCTCTCTCTCTCTCTCTCTCTCTCTCTCTCTCTCTCTCTCTCTCTCTCTCTCCTCTCTCTCTCTCTCTCTCTCTCTCCTCTCTCTCTCTCTTCCCCCTCCCTCCCTCCCTCCTTATTCTCACAAATTTTCTTTCGTTCTCTAAAAAAAAAACATTTTTACTTGCCGTTTTCCTTTCTACACTTGGTAACTACACTTTGCGTTTGGTGTTCCCTCTGTTGTAGTTATCTCGGGCAGAAGCTCTCTTTATCTCAGCTCTCCTGTAACAGTTGCAGCTGTCTTCCCCTATCTTTCCTATGTAATACTTGTACTTATCCTCAGCAGTCACTCTTATCTTCACTTTCTTGTGTTATACTTGTAGTATCTTCAGCAGTCATTGTCATCTTTACTTTTGTTATACTTGTAGTATCCTTTTGTTACACTTGTAGTATCCTCAGCAATTATTGTTATTTCCACTTTTGTTTTACTCGTAGTATCCTCAGCAGTCATTGTTATCTTCACTTCTGTTATACTTGTTGTATCCTCAGCAATTATTGTTATCTTCACTTTCCTGTATTATACTTGTAGTTATTCTCAGCAGTTATTCTCTGTTATCCTCAGTATCCTGTGTAACAGGTGTAATAGTTACTCTGTTATCTTCATTGTCCTGTGTAACACGTGTAACAGTCACTCTGTTATCTTCAGTATCCTGTGTAACAGCTGTGTTAGTCGGTGTTTGTTGCTTCCATGCCTGTGATTCAACTCAGCAGACCAGATCCGTTTTTTTAGCTTTCACGTGTGTCAATGAGTTTAGCAGTCACCCCCTACGTTTCTTTTTGTCTCTCTTGCTTAGTTCCGCCCACAAGCCGTGGTGTTCGAGATAGTGACTAACAAGAAGTTCGACATGATCATCATGATATTCATCGGTTTGAACATGCTCACCATGACAATGGATCACTACAATATGACAGAAGAGTGGAAAACAGCATTGAACAACATGAATCTCATCTTTATCTGCATCTTCACTTCCGAGTGCGTTCTGAAGGTGTTCGCTCTCAGATGGCACTACTTCAAGGAGCCCTGGAATCTCTTCGATTTTGTGGTGGTCATCATGTCTATTCTAGGTAAGATAATCTCGCCTCTTCGCTGAGTTGACTCTTTAACCATGTTTTTATATTTTTCAGTGCTAAGTACACTTGTGCTTTCCCTCCTTCCCAGTATTGGAAGCTGTCTGCAGCAGTGGATGTCCTGCAGAGAACTGAAGTGTGTTTGGCCTTAAACACTAAGATGGCAGTTACTGGCTCTGATCCTGCTGCTCCCACACCTATTGTTCCCGTCCCTTTTCAACCACCACAACACACCTAGTGTTCTCTTCCCTCCACCACCACCACAACAACACACCCACTGCTCCAGCCCCCTCCACAACCACAACGCACCCACTGCACCAGCCCCCTCCACAACCACCACAACACACCCACTGCCCCAGCTCCCTCCATCATTAAACACACTAGTTTTTTACTTTCCACAAACCACCATGAATGTGTAGGAATAAAAATCTTCTGAATTGTAATTCTATTGTCGTTCGTAGCGGTGCAGTAGAAAAGATACCGATGCCAGAGCGTAGCTTGTAGAGTATGTTAGCATCACTATAGGGCTTGTGATGTATATATATATCAGTGCTGAGCCTGTAAATTACGCCCATGTTAGTACTTAGCTCGTGACGTGTGTATACGTCAGTGTTGAGACCAGATTGTCCTCAGAATCGTAAGTTGTAATTAATAATTTCAATATACATATATGAACTGATAAATAAAAACAAATGCTACATATACTTTACATCCAGACGCAGGTAACTCACACACTTATGGCCTTGCAGATACAATTTTCAGCATATTGTCTGCTGCTTCCTAGACCCGACTTACTCACCATAATATCTATCATCCATGAGGCCTAACCTAATCTAAATAAAGTCTGTAGAGAAATCGTTTTATTATATTTTAAGTACGAATATGACTTACGTTTGGAGAGACATACACAGAAAACTCGCACATAGGAGAGAGAAAAGCTAATGACGATGTTTTGGTCTAACTTGGACCATTAACAAGTCACACTGACAGAAGAATGAATGAGCCACTATATATAGGCACAGACAGTATGTTGCATTTTGACTTGTATGTTAAAATTCTTACTTGTACGTACGAGTAACCAATCTGTGAATCTAAGGAGCCTTTGATATATGGTGTGTGTCAACATTAGGGTGCCAGATTTAATCATCCCTACTCTAAAAGAAATTTTTTAACACCTGGTATGATGTCTCATCCAAAAAACCTTCTTTGAAATATGAAATATTACACTAGCCAGTGTGTCTCTTGACGGGAGGATAATGTTACACTTGCCAGTGTCTCTTAACGGGAGGATAATATTACACTAGCCAGTGTGTCTCTTGATGGGAGGGCAATATTACACTAGCCAGTGTGTCTCTTGATGGGAGGGCAATATTACACTAGCCAGTGTGTCTTGAAAGGAGGACAATGTTACAGTAGCCAGTGTCTCTTGACAGGAGGACATTACACTAGCCAGTGTCTCTTGACGCGAAGACAATATAAATGTGTTTCAAGGATTCCAAAAAATAAGTGGGAAGCATCCAGGCAGTCTCATCACAAAGTACAATGGAACCTCTGGTCACGACCATAATTCGTTCCAAAACTATGGTCATGACCTGAACCGAATTTCCCCATTGGATTGTGTGTAAATACGATTAATCCGTTCCAGACCCCTACGAACTGTAAGCACAAAAATAGTTAATTATACCATAGAATGCACAGTGTAATAGTAAACTAAATGTAAAAACCTTGAATAACACTGAGAAAACCTTGAACAACAGAGAAAACTAACATTGCACGAGTCCATTCTAGACCCCCTACGAACAGTTTCCCTGTAAATATTTTTTTCCTAAGAGTTTTAATGGTCGTCTAATGGCTGAGAAGTGAACTCTGTTATTTATCGTCCGATTTCTTTCATTTTTGATGTACGTTAAGAAACACCTTTCCATCATACATTGCCCAAGTTTCAATAAGATAATCCAACAAACAACTGTGAAAAAATATATTTACCAATATTTACTATAAGGCGAGGGTCTTCGTTAGATGTACACAAACAACAGGAAGCGGGGATAATTGGTGTGTGCAATAAAAATGGCGCGGCTGTGTTTGTTCAACACCCGATTATGTGTTCGTGACCAGATGCAAAAATTTGGCGAATTTTTGGTCGTGAACCGATTTGTTCATGTTCGGAAGCGTTTGTGACCAGAGGTTCCACTGCATATATGCAGAGAATTGCACATCTCTCGATATGTATATACATCAGGAGGTATGCATCTCAGTGTGTAGATATATTATATATATATATATATATATATATATATATATATATATATATATATATATATATATATATTTATACATATACATATATTATACATATATTATACATATATATATATATATATATATATATATATATATATATATATATTATATATATATATATATATATATTGTGTGTGTGTATTATATTAAAATACTGGTCGTCTCCCACTGAGGTAGAGTGACCCAAAAGAAGAAACACTTTCACCATCATTCCCCTATATGACTGTTGCCAGACGTGTCGATATTACAGTTCAGATGCCCCTTCAAACTCTATCTCCACCCCCTCCTTTAGAGTCCAGGACTCAAGTCCAACTAATCGGTTTTCCTGAATCTCTTCGTAAAATTCTACCTCACACTCCAACAGCTCGTCAGGTCCCAAAAATCATTTGCCTCAACTCACTCCTGTGTAACATGCTCACACACACCAGCTGGATGTCCAAGCCCCTTGCACACAAAAACTCCTTTACAGCCTCTCTCCAATCTTTCCTACGGCGATCCCTACCCCACCTTCCCTCTACTACAGATTTATACACCATCCAAGTCCATCCTTTCTAAATGTCCAGACCACCTCAACAAACCCTCGTCAGCCCTCTGAATAACACTTTTAGTAACCCCATACCTCCCCCTAATATATTATATATATATATATATATATATATATATATATATATATATATATATATATATATATATATATATATATATATTATATATATATATATTATATATATATATATATATATTATATATATATTCAACAAGTCGGTCGTCTCCCACCGAGGCAGGGTGACCCAAAAAAAAAGAAAGAAAATCCCCAAAAAAGAAAATACTTTCATCATCATTCAACACTTTCACCACACTCACACATTATCACTGCTTTTGCAGAGTGCTCAGAATACAACAGTTTTAGAAGCATATACGTATAGAGATACACAACATATCCCTCCAAACTGCCAATATCCCAAACCCCTCCTTTAAAGTGCAGGCATTGTACTTCCCATTTCCAGGAATCAAGTCCGACTATATGAAAATAACCGGTTTCCCTGAATCCCTTCACTAAATATTACCCTGCTCACACTCCAACAGATCGTCAGGTCCCAAGTATCATTCGTCTCCATTCACTCCTATCTAACACGCTCATGCACGCTTGCTGGAAGTCCAAGCCCCTCACCCACAAAACCTCCTTTACCCCCTCTTTCCCACCCTTTCGAGGACGACCCCTACCCCTCTTTCCTTCCCCTATAGATTTATATGCTTTCCATGTCATTCTACTTTGATCCATTCTCTCTAAATGACCAAACCACCTCAACAACCCCTCTTCTGCCCTCTGACTAATGCTTTTATTTAACTCCACACCTTCTCCTAATTTCCACACTCCGAATTTTCTGCATAATATTTACACCACATATTGCCCTTAGACAGGACATCTCCACTGCCTCCAACCGTCTCCTCGCTGCTGCATTTACCACCCAAGCTTCACATCCATATAAGAGTGTTGGTACTACTATACTTTCATACATTCCCTTCTTTGCCTCCATAGATAACGTTTTTTGACTCCACATATACCTCAACGCACCACTCACCTTTTTTCCCTCATCAATTCTATGATTAACCTCATCCTTCATAAATCCATCCGCCGACACGTCAACTCCTAAGTATCTGAAAACATTCACTTCCATACTCCTCCTCCCTAATTTGATATCCAATTTTTCTTTATCTAAATCATTTGATACCCTCATCACCTTACTCTTTTCCATGTTCACTTTCAACTTTCTACCTTTACACACATTCTCAAACTCATCCACTAACCTTTGCAATTTTTCTTTAGAATCTCCCATAAGCACAGTATCATCAGCAAAAAGTAACTGTGTCAATTCCCATTTTGAATTTGATTCCCCATAATTTAATCCCACCCCTCTCCCGAACACCCTACCATTTACTTCTTTTACAACCCCATCTATAAATATATTAAACAACCATGGTGACATTACACATCCCTGTCTAAGACCTACTTTTACCGGGAAGTATTCTCCCTCTCTTCTACACACCCTAACCTGAGCCTCACTATCCTCATAAAAGCTCTTTACAGCATTTAGTAACTTACCACCTATTCCATATACTTGCAACATCTGCCACATTGCTCCTCTATCCATATATATATATATAGGTATATTAACACGTCGGCCGTTTCCCACCGAGGCAGAGTGTGTGTGTGTGTGTGTGTGTGTGTGTGTATGTGTACATTCATGCACACTTACAATTTAATCCCCATTTTTAAGAATTACAGTATCCTTGATACTAGTATGTAAAGGCTTTATTCCTGTATAGTCAATATCCATTAAACCTAACAAAATAACTTTTCTGTCATTGAAATCTGTTGTACCTTCGGGAATCCATAAATAAATATCCAAGGGTTCCTTCATTGAGGATACATAGCACCAAATATTCAACGATGAGTAACTTTTATTATTTCTCAGGTCTGGTGCTGAAGGACATCATTGAGAAGTATTTCGTGTCGCCGACGCTGCTTCGTGTCGTTCGAGTAGCGAAGGTGGGACGTGTCCTGCGTCTTGTCAAAGGCGCCAAAGGAATCAGAACGCTGCTCTTCGCCTTGGCCATGTCCCTCCCCGCTCTCTTCAATATCTGCCTCTTGCTTTTCCTTGTTATGTTTATCTTTGCTATCTTCGGTATGTCTTTCTTTATGAATGTCAAACACACTGGAGGTCTGGATTCTGTATACAACTTCGAGACCTTCTTCCAGTCTTTCATCTTGCTGTTCCAAATGATGACGTCTGCAGGGTGGGATAGTGTGCTCTCCGGTATTGTTAACGAAAAAGAGTGCAAGCCTCCCAATGCTGAGATCGGCGATCCTGGCAACTGTGGCAACCAGGCCATTGGCATCGCTTATCTGTTGGGTTACCTAGTCATCAGCTTCCTCATCGTTATTAACATGTACATCGCTGTCATCCTCGAAAACTACTCCCAGGCGACAGAAGACGTCGAAGAGGGTCTAACTGATGACGACTACGACATGTACTATGAAATCTGGCAACAGTTCGATCCTAAAGGAACGCAGTTCATTGAATTTCACATGCTGTCTGACTTTCTGGATATCCTAGAGGCGCCTCTTCAGATTCACAAGCCAAATAAGTACAAAATTGTGTCAATGGACATTCCAATCTGCAAGGGAGACCTTGTGTTCTGCGTGGACGTCCTGGACGCGCTCACCAAGGACTTCTTCGCCCGTAAGGGCAACCCAGTGGAGGACTCAGCAGACATTGGCGAAGTGGCTCCTGCTTCGGACCGTCCAGGGTACGAGCCAGTGTCCTCCACGCTCTGGCGCCAGAGAGAAGAGTACTGCGCGCGGTTGATCCAACAAGCGTGGCGCAAACACCGCCAGCACAAAGATCAGTCCTCTCTCTCCGGTGCCGAGTCCCAAGAAGAACTAAAGCAAGCAGATACCGCCGTCTTGGTGGAGAGCGATGGTTACGTCACAAAAAACGGCCATAAGGTGGTGATTCACTCGCGATCACCATCAGTGACATCACGGTCCACTGACGTGTGACTAAGGAAAGGCGAGTAAATGAAGTTGTTGCTGCTTTTTAACTACACATGGGCCGGTTGTTAATTAACACATGGCTCTGTTAACTCCCGCATGGCTCTGGTATCAAGTACCACAGGAGCCGGCCGTTAACAAGCAAATCACGGCGTTGGTGTAGGCCTGCTGTAGCCACCACCGGCGTCGGTTGGGCCACTCTTGCTCGGGAACACCGCACTCTTAATGCCTTGTTGTTTAAGTTTACAGTCCAACTGTCCTCAGCTTCCCGACCCACGAGTGCCGCGCCCTCTGTGCAGAGATTATTGGCCTAAGTGATTCACCATATGTTTATTTTTGTATTTCTTTTTCTAAATGGTTACTGGGCCATTGCTTACCCGTCTTGGTATTGACGCTCGGCTCAAGTGAGGCTGGGAGCGCCTGGTCCTCAAGATGATCACTTGTTAGTTGGCGTGGAGGTGACGTGGAGCCTGATGACACTGATGCTCCCACCCGCCCATGGCCGCCTACACCCGCCCATGGCCGCCCACACCCGCCCATGGCCGCCCACACACGCCCACGCTCACAGTATTGTTGACACCCGGTGTATGAAGCACCGACGACACCTCTTTCCTTCCCAGAGGACGGCCTGGGCAAGCCTGCCAGCCACGCCACAGACAATGGCTACCGCAGGCGTCGCAGCAGCTGCAGCAGCAGTAGTGGCACCGTCAGGAGCAGAAGTAAGAGGGCCAGGCACAGGCAGCGGCCATGGCAGCTCAGGTGTGTGCACAGTGTCTCAGGTGATATGGAGAGGAACCCTAATGACGCGCGTATCCCACCAACAATACGAGTTCTCAACAAGTATTAAGGAAACTTCAAACTGCATAATTATTACCCCTCACATAAACTGTGTGTGATACACAAATGCCTTTACCTAAGTGCAAGCTGTGCATAATGCAAGTAGCGAGGTGCACAATAAGGTAGAACTTGTATTGTAAGCCATCGTGTTTGCGGACAGAGCGCCACCCGGACCTTGTGTTGCTCCACAGGCAACCCTTCCCCAAGCTACATTCATATAGCTTTCTCCCTCCCTGACCTCTCGCCCCTCCTTAACCCCCCTCCCTCATAATTAACCTTCTGTCACTTCCCTATCTTTTGTTGCCCCCAACCTCATCTGTCACCTATTGCTTATCCCTCCCTGGACTGTCATTCGTCCCTTCTCTCTACTACCACTTCCTTGCCTCTACTTGACCTGTTGCACTTCTATTCCTACAACCCCCCACGTTATCGCCTGTCACCTGTTCCTCACCCCTACCTGATCTGTCACTCATCCCTTCACCTGCTGCTCCTGCTGATGATCCATCTACTCTGCATTTATTGATCTATACTGTCATTTCCCAGCTTTAGATCATATCATCCTTCTTACACCAGCTACACCCTTTTTCGTATTTTATTGTTATCGAAAATAAGCGTTAACCCCATCTGGGTCATACAGTGCAGATCCTCTGTCGTAGCTTCTTTCTTCATCATCTCGCACATTTTTCTGCTTCTATATATTTGTCGTCCTATCCCAACACCTCGTCACCTTCCTCCGGCTGGGCCGTGGGGCGACCTCTTCCCTTTCAATGGCGCAGAATTACCCACTCTTATCCTATTAAATTCAGTTGCTATATTAGTTTATGAGCTATAATATTCGTGACTAAGTGCAACTACAGTGAGCTAAGGAGAACCTAAGCCAGAGCCAATCATGTGTCTCGACCTTGAGTATGGAGCCACCAACCCCCGCAGCCTTGTGTACCGCATCACTCATGTAGGATGCTTCAGTGTGCTTGACACGCTGGCTGCTACTATAGTATACATATTACCTGCCCACTCTTAAAGTTCTTGTCTTGTTAACCAGCCTTCTTGCACGTCAGCACTATCATTCTTCCCTTGAGTTGTCCTCCCTGCACACTATGATTGTTGTTTTTATTATTATTGTCATTATTATTATATATTCATTAGACCCGTATGGGCAGTTCAGCGCAGCCCCTTTCTCTCTGGCATTCCCTGACTACTCCCTTCACTGACTGTATTTACGTCAGTGAACCAATAGGGACACTGCTCTTCACCCAGCCCATTATTTATTACTAATCACACTCGCACATACTATTGCTGCGTCAGGTACGCCGTTGTTAATCTAGTTGATCATTTTCCATTCATTCCCAAGACACGTTGGCCCGTCCTTCCCCAAGCGAGTGTGACGTCACTCAGCCCACTAAAGCCTAGTGTCTCCTGGAATATGGCCTTATTAACTACCATAATTCATTTAGCTGTGTCTTTTCATAATGATCAACTTCATCAAATAGCTATGTAAGAAAATTATTTCTACATCAAATAGCTATGTAAGATTTTTCATTTCTACCATTTAAGATTTATGCATATAGTGTTTAATTCTCCCTATTATTTTAGCCTTGCTTAACATTAGCAGCTCCAAGGAAGAGAAGAGTGGGTGGTGGTGAGGATGACGCTAGGGGCGTCTGTCTCCTTATTCCCCAAGTGGAGAGGACCCCTAATTACGCTGTCGCCTTGTGTGCAACCTACTCTTCCCATCCCTCAAATATATCACTAAATATATTTTAAATCCATAGTGTAAACTTTGTTGTTTTCAGCTCAGGCAAAGATTCCATGTTTTATTCCTCTTGTAGACTTACTTTACACCATTTTTCACTTCTCAACACCACTACATGTCTTATGTGTGGAATTTAACTACTGTGATTGTTAGTTATATCTTTTACCCTCCCTGGAGTCTCTCTTCCTTGTAACTACTACATTTCTCCCTCCAGCTACCATTCCTGTACCCAGAAGTACTGTCCTAGTCCTATCAGGAGCCCTACCTGAAGTCCTCTTCTAATCGTACCTGCAATCCTTTCCCGGTCCTATCCTAGTCTTATTTGAGGTCCTGTTCAAGTCTTACCCAAGCCCCGCCTGAAATCCTATCCTAATCCCCATACCTGAAGCCTTGTTGTAGTCCTCGTATTGAGTTTTATCCTAGTTCCCAATCCTGAAATACCCCTACCATCCATTTCCTTTTAACTTTCCCATATCTTTCCCTTCGACTTTGGCCCAGCCCCATCCCCTTCCATGGCTTATTCCACCCATTGACCTTAGCTGACCTCTTTCTCCTCTTCCCCAGCGCCCCTTGTGTTTGGGGTGCAAGGCACAGCTCAGCTCAAAAAAAAAAAAAAACATTGGTCCTTCTGATCGGAGCCAGTGACTCTCCGGGCCGAAGTTATATCGTCGCCGCGTGTTTGCCCCTTGAGACTGGGTTGTCTGAGTCTTGATGGCCTTAACTATCTAGTGTAATCGGTATGGATCGTTTCTTGCACAATATTCTATGTCAACACGCCATTATTTATGAAATAATTACTTATGAGTACATGAGATCAATCAATATTGTACGATTATTCTGTGCATAATGAATAATAAAAACTATTTTATATGTATGGTCATAAAATGAAAACTAAAATATAAGAAATGCCATTTGCATGAGAAAATGCTGAACACGAACAGGAGGTGAGGATAAAGTGAAGGATGCGGTGGCGTCAGTGCGGCGGAGGAACTAGCAGCTAGGAGTGCGGGTGGGCATGGGTCCCATGCGTCCTCTTCCCCCACTGGTGACATCACGTTACCCCTGCCTTCCCGCCCGCTGTGCCCCGCCCACCGCCGCTGCCGACGGCCCGCCTCCTTCACCAGAGCACAAAGCAGTAGCTCAGCACCAGCTGGTTGTCGACCATGTGGTGGGTGTCAGGCTCCCTGTCGCTCAATGCCTACCTCTCTTGTGTTGGAAATCTTTATTATTCTGTATCTAGATATCTCGCAGAGTTTATTTCATTGGTCCAAAACTCTGTTAACACTTCATAACCATGTAGCATAGGAATATTGTTGAAAATTTTGCTATGGAACTTTTATCTGAGTGATCGGAAATTATGATGGAATTCTCTCCTCCCATAGTAATACTCCAGGCTTGACTCTGCTGGCACGAGGGGGCACGGTGCCACCTGGGCAGCCAATCATGAGCGACTCTATTTCCCTCCAGGGCGACGCGCCGCCCCTTGTTCGTAGCTCAGTGACGGTAGGGCAACAGAGGATGCCCCAGCGGGCTCCACAACTTGTGCTCACCGCTACACCGCTCCACCCACCTCGGCACCCTGCCCTCTCCTCCATACAACAACGGCTTGTAACTGCAGACACTAACTTTTAAGAGACAGTGCTGTGAAACTTCAGATTTGTACACGTCTTAGTTTTTAAGGTGGAGTGCTGCACCGGATGCGACCAGTCCCGCACCTCTACACTACCTTGCTAGGCTGCTGCCGGTGGAACACTCACTACCACTCGGTTTGTCCTTCACTTAGTTTGGATTATCCTCATGTGATACCAATTCTGTAATATTCAAATTGTTATATTCTTGATAAGCAAATTTGTTTTGTATTCTGATGGCTGCGATGAGATGTGTTGGTTTAATGCTATTCCATTTTGTAAGTTTAAACCCACGGAAAGCAAGGGAGAGAGCTCCAGTGATGAGGGCTCTTACCTCAACTACACCAGTCTTCCCCGGGTGTCCTTGGGGTGCCTCCCTCATCCCTCTTACCTCAATCTGACCTCAGCACAAGTTGATTCCCTTCCAACCTCAACCTTACCCCTCAGAAGTAGTCATTGCGAACTTCATCTCTCTCGTTTCCCTTTCTTTCCGTAACTACCAACAGACAACGACCAGGCGATATGTTGCAGCTTATTCGTGTGGTTTGCGGAGATGATCGACTTTACATCACTATCTTGAACAAACAACAGTCCTCCCTCTTCCCCCCGCCCTTTCCTTAAGCCACCAGCATCACTTGCTCATTCATAGTAACCGCAGCGCTAAATGGAGGCTTCCCTAGAGACGGTCCCTAGGTAGGTTTGAAAGTAATGCCCCTTGGGTCGTGTGTCTGTGAGAGCTTGAGTATGTATGAGAGTAACATCCCATTCCTTGCGTATGTATGTGGGAGTAACGTTTTTCAGCTATTTTATCAGAGGCACATCAAGTCATGACTGTGGGATAATAGAATTATGTGGAAAATATAATCAAACTAGAAAGAGTGGAGCATTGTAACACTGGATTTAAGTTTGCACCTAGGTTAGAGAAATATGTGCCCAAAATTATGTAGGTGAAAACCCGGTGTGTAAATGGGTGGTAGGGTATAGAAAATAGGTATTGGTTATATATCTATGAGAGTAGTAATTTATGATAGGAGGTGCAGTGAATGAGATTTGTGTTGGGTAAATGAGCCGTATGAGTGCAGGTGGTTGACTGAGTACTGATGGATGAATGGGACGCATGAGTACAGGTGGGTGGATGAGGGATAAGTAAATAAAGAAGTGAATCAAAGAAAAAATATAATGTAGGTTCAAGAAGGCAAAAACTGTATTTTTCATAGGTGGGAAATTTAACCAATAGCTGTGACAGTTAGGAAGCGCTTCTTAGAGACGTAGACACGCACAAGAAAAGACTTAAGCATTTTAAGATTGTGATAATTAAACTTAATGAGAAAGTTCAAAGATTAGGATTATTTGTGTGTGAATGCTGGCAAGATGATACGGTAGGGTTGGTACATCTGACCCAGAGGGGCTACGAGCGTAGATAATTTTCATGATAAGTTGAGCGTTTAAGCATAGCTGTCTTCAGAAAGTAGTTTTAGATTTGCCTAAAATATTAACTCAGTATTAGCATAACAAAAAAGGATGAGACGTATAATTCAAAGAAATGTGTTATAGCAGTTCAAGTCACTAATTAAGTAGCCCGTGCATCGTCACCTGCAAAATCCAGGAAAAGTGTATTAGTAAATCTGAACTGAGCTATATAGAGCTAAGACGAAAAGGCATCTAGTGGACCCACTTACAGAGAAAGTGACGAGATCGAGTGGAGTGAAAGACAGTGTATCGAGTAGGTACAGAGGATGTAGATAACGTTGGACCTGAGCCACAACTCCCCTTCCCCTCTCTCATGAAGTCTCCCCCTTTCCTCTCCCATTCCCATCCCTCTTATCCTCCCGGGCAGGACTGGCAGGGAAGAAGGCGAGGGGGGGAGAGCTTATTCGGCAGTTCCCGATTGCTTCTGATCGTTATTTTGCGCGATGACCGTCTTGATTCTGTTGGTAAATTATGTAAATTGAAATGTCCATGTCAAGCTAAAACCAGAGGCATTGACTGGCTTGAGCGGCAGTGCGATAGTCGTCAAGTCTCTGCTTCAAGAACGCTGTGGATTGAGCAAATGGAAATTGAAATCCTCAAAATAATAAATTTATTATATATATATATATATATATATATATATATATATATATATATATATATATATATATATATATATATATATATATATATTACATACATATATTTACATACATATATGTATATACATATATGTATATACATATATGTATATACATATATATACACATATATATAAAATATATATATATATATATATATATATATATATATATATATATATATATATATATATATATATTTACAAAGTCCCCACGCCAAGGACGCTTTGGTAGTGGCTGGCAGACAAACCTACTCAAGGGGGCGAGATCGCTAGTTGCTTAATACTAGGTCCTTTTAAGCACCACTCACCCAGCGCATTACTCTGAACAAATTTAAGCTCTTGAAGGTTTTCCTCACCAAAAGACTTAAAAAAAGTTATCGTAGTTTGCTTAGAAAGAATGCAAAAGTTATATAATGTTCTTAACATACTCTCAACAATGGTACCAACGCTCGTTTTCTGTGAGGGTTTGGTTGTCTGGTTATTTATATGTCGGGGTAACTTGATTATCTGTTTATATGTCAGGTTAATTGATCCTTTACGAATTTGTCAGATTTGCTGATGTATATCTTTTTTGTCAGGTTAGCTGATGTATATATATATACCTGAATACCAGATCCACTAACGCGTACCTACTTACAGCTAGATTTATTAATGTGTACCTACTTACATACCAGGTTTCCTGAGGTGTAATCAATTACATATCGAGCTCGGGATTTTGTATTTATTTACACAAGATATTTCCCGGTGTGTACGAACTTCCACATTAAGTTAACTTCTGTATGGGTACTTACATATTGATATGTGCAGCCATTTGCATATCAGTACTCTAGGGTTTAGTAAACTGCATATTGAATATGCTATGTATAACTACTTCCGTATCACGTATATGCATGTTGAATACTATTCTCTAGTTGCATAACATGTATACTGATATGTGGTTACTCACATGCCTCTCAGATATGTGGTTACATACATAAATGTGCGGTTGCTTACCGGCTGGGCTTGCTGATATGTTTTTACGAACTAGTGTTGATGTGCCATCACTCGTATTATCCAGTACGTTTATGTGAGGCTACTTGCTGCCCCCCAGTATAGCAATGTGCTCACATGCACACCGTATATACTGCTATGTAGTTGCACATATAATGTATTAGATATACTGTATACAGTGTGATATGATGGAATATTGGTATACTGTAGGGGGCATGTTGTGTTGCCAGTGACTCAGTATTGGTGGTTGGTCTATGAAGGTGTCAACATCACATCGGTAGACAGACACTTGATGCACAGCAAACTTTGAATACAGATGGTGCTTCGCTCTGGGTAGAGTTTATCAAGCTCTAAACAAAGCGAAACTTCTAATATAATAAAATGTCTGCTCTTCACCAAGTGTTTGTCTGCCATACTTGTCGGCAATACCTGCCATCCTACAGCACATCACGACGTTATGTTGGTACAAAACACACATACACACACGCAGTGTTACTAGCACATCCGATACGCTGCTGTGAGGTGTCTTGAAGACGCACCTGTACCCAGCTGGCTGGAACGACCACCCATTGCTCCCGTGTCTCCTCATGGCAATGTCTTCTGAGATGTCCGCTCTGTCGCACATCCCCTGAATGTCATTTGGATGGTGCTCTGAAAATGTACGAGGTTGATCTGCGGTTCTGATGCTGTACCGAAGGTCACGCTACGATACCAGCTACGCCTTGTTCTGGGAACGACCATCTTTCCAACTGCACTTTGTACTGGGAACGACCATCTTTCCAACTGCACCTTGTACTGGGAACGATCATCTTTCCAACTACACCTTGTATTGGGAACGACCATCTTTCAAACTGCACCTTGTACTGGGAACGACCATCTTTTCAACTGCACCTTGTACTGGGAACCATCATCTTTCCAATTACACCTTGTACTGGGAACGACCATCTTTCCAACTGCACCTTGTACTGGGACGGTTTCACCAGAAGTCGCATATGAATACCAGCTGGTTCTCATAGTGCAGAGTTACAGTGCAGGTCATACAGTTGGTCATTACACTAGCACAGTCATAATACTTTATGTATCATAAGATCAATTCTAACATTTGGTCACCCTCGTTCTTGCTTACCTGTATTAACCTGTAATCAGAGCTTCATATTGATTTTAAATCAAGGTATACTACTGTAATTTTGTGTATGTTAACAGGTATACGTGTGGAAGCTAATATTGGCTTGTTCTGCAAGGTGTATACACCGAGAGGTGTTTATGTCCGTGTACATACACTGAGAGCTTATTTTAATCCCTGTTTTAAGGATTAAAGTATGCTTGATGTTAGTGTCTAGGTGATTTGCGGCCTTAATGACCCACTTGCAGTCAATAGGTCTTAAACCTAACACACCTAACTTGTCTTGAACATATTTCACTCCGGATATTTTAGACTAATTTAATGATACACGTAAGCTGTGTAAGATACGTAAACGTACCTACATGGAGACAGTAAAGCACAAAGAATGCACTCTTCAGTATGCTAAAGAAGTGTACAAGAGATGAGGCTCATTGACAAATCAGGTCATATGACCTAAGGGTGATACAGGAACACGTGACCTCAGGAATGATGTGGTCTAAGAGCCAAGTTTCCATTGATTTTGTGAGATGCTGAAATGAGGTCGTGATGTAATCTTCTCGAGAATTTTATGTATGTTCGTTCTACTGGTTTTATAATAATGGAAGAAGCTTTCCAGTGTATTGTGGTTATGATTCTTAACATGAATAAATGTCTTCAGAATTGTACTGAGATTGATTATAATCTTTGAAGGGAATTTCACGCACAGGACATGACAAGCGGTGTATGTGAAATTCTTTGCGAAGATTGTAACAAAACATACATTGGATAAACAAAGAATTTTAATCACAAGTAACAGAACTTATATTGGATGAACAAAGAATTTTAATCACAAGAATAAAAAAGAGATATGCTAGATATAGAGAAGGCAGTTTATAATGTTCTAATATAATGTTCAGATTCATAATACTAACTCGGAAGCTGGTTCAACCAGAACAAGCTGAATGAACATATTCAAGATTGAGTAAGTGATCATGGCTCGAATTTAACATCACACAAGACAAGTGGAAGTCTGATACTGTTACTTCACCTTACTTCTTACGACATAATTTGGCAGGTAAACCTCCTCTCATCAACACTCCTCGAATGCTGAATACAGCCTCTGAGACAGAAATATATACTGCTCATTTAAATATACTCTGCGTGCAGGTTCGTTTGTGCCACTGACCAATGTTTATTACACTTGTTTATATTAGATAAATTGTTATAATGGTTATGATGTGAGTAAACAGGATTCTAATATGACTTTAAAAAGGTGGTGATGTGTGCTGGTGTCAGCGACTAGCAACAATGCACTGGTGTGTGAGGGTGGACATTTGTACTAGCTACTGCATACAGATGAACATGCAGGTATGTCACTAGGTACGGGTGCACCAGTCACTGGGTACAGGTGTATAAAGTCAGGCTCACAAGAGGCAAGCTAACACGCCATATTATCCTCACAATATACAATCTCCGCAAACACATGCCTGCCCTTGATAGAAAGATGGTTTAACGCTGCTAGCCCAATAATAAACAAATGGCATTACTTTCATTCTACATTCAGCCTTTTTGCTTGCACTTTGTAAAATGTTTTGAATTTCACAGTTTGTACTATATTATCTGTAAATAATATGTCATCGAATAAATTTTTGATAATTTACCACGAAGAAATCAAGTTGTTTTATGATCCCACATTGTTTATCTATTTTTCTACATGGTTTTGAAAAAGTGCGAATGGGACACACGACTCGCACATGGATACGACACAGATGAAGGACCAGCACTGCTCGACCAGGTCAGACTGTCAGTTCACCAGGTGTTGAGAGTGTTTTGTTTGCCAGCGTAAGTGGACGATTCACCAGCGACATCTTCAACGGCCGAACATAAACTGACTTCGCTCAAGTTACGCATCAGACTTCGAACATTTTAAGAGATACAGACTTGTTTTTACAATGATTTCTACTACATTTACACTAACCCCTCGCACATCACAACCTCTCGCACACCCCCTCACACACACCTTACCCTTGCACACACCTTCCCTTTGCACACACCTTCCCCTCATAGAGCGAAACACCAACGTCAAAGACCTGGGAGTGATCATGTCGGAGGATCTCGCCTTCAAGGACCATAACATTGTATCAATCACATCTGCTAGAAAAATGACAGGATGGATAATGAGAACCTTCAAAACTAGGGAGGCCAAGCCCATGATGACACTCTTCAGGTCACTTGTTCTATCTAGGCTGGAATATTGCTGCACACTAACAGCACCTTTCAAGGCAGGTGAAATTGCTGACCTAGAAAATGTGCAGAGAACCTTCACGGCGCGCATAACGGAGATAAAACGCCTCAATTACTGGGAGCGCTTGAGGTTCCTAAACCTGTATTCCCTGGAACGCAGGAGGGAGAGATACATGATTATATACACCTGGAAAATCCTATAGGGACTAGTACCGAACTTGCACACGAAAATCACTCGCTACGAAAGCAAAAGACTTGGCAGACGATGCAACATCCCCCCAATGAAAAGCAGGGGTGTCACTAGCACGTTAAGAGACCATACAATAAGTGTCAGGGGCCCAAGACTTCAACTGCCTCCCAACATACATAAGGGGGATTACCAACAGACCCCTGGCAGTCTTCAAGCTGGCACTGGACAAGCACCTAAAGTCGGTTCCTGACCAGCCGGGCTGTGGCTCGTACGTTGGTTTGCGTGCAGCCAGCAGTAACAGCCTGGTTGATCAGGCTCTGATCCACCAGGAGGCCTGGTCACAGACCGGGCCGCGGGGGCGTTGACCCCCGGAACTCTCTCCAGGTAAACACACACCTTCCCCCTCGCACCTTCCCCCTTACACCTTCCCCCTCACAC